ATACTAATGTTCATATAGTGCTTACTCTGCACCAAGATCTATTTTATTTTATTTTTTATTTTTTGTTGCTGTTCCCAGGTGGTTTTTTTAAAATAGAAGTATAGTGGATTTACAATGTTGCCTTAATTTCTTCTGTATAGCAAAGTGACTCACTTAAACATATATATATATTTTTTTTTCACTTTCTTTTCCATTATGGTTTATCATAGGATATTGAATATAGCTCTATGTGCTATACAGTAGGACCTTGTTGTTTATCCATCCCATATATAATAATTTGCCTCTTGATGAAAGTGAAAGAGGAGGGTGAANCAGTGCATGGGCTTCAGTAATTTTGGCGTGCAGGCTTAGTTGCTCTGCGGCATATGGGATCTTACTTCTCCCACCAGGGATCAAACCTGCATCCCCAACATTGCAAGGCAGAGTCTTAACCACTGGACCACTAGGGAAGTTCCCAAGTTGCAAATTTTTTAAAAAATATTTCAAATCAGTTTTGGAGTTTGTTGTGGCATAAATAGTTAATGCCTCTTGCCCTGCGGTCTCTTTCAGCTGTAAATGCATACATCCAAATTTCTGATGGGCATCTCTACTCAGATGCCACACAAACATAAACCATCCCAAACTCAAGAATCATTCTTCTCTCCCAATCATGGTCCTTGACCTCTGCTCCCTCATTTACTTGGTGGCCTCACCATGGCCTCATTTGCCCAAGTTGGAGACATGAGACTTATTCCCACACCTTCACCCTCGCACCAGTGCAATCACCAAGTCATACAGGTTTTCTCTCTTAAACTTTTCCAGGATCTGGCCTCTCCCTCCATGCATACAAACACGGTGGGTCCCAAACTTGATAACACATGAATGCCACCTGAGGAGGTCACTAAAAGCGCAGATTCCCAAGCCCAGACCTCAGGTCCAGCAGGGACTTGCATTTTAACTGAGCACCCCTGGTCATTCTGGTGCAGTAGGTTCTGAGAAACACCAAGCTGGGAATCTTGGGGAGAGGCTAGCAGTCCTGGACCACTTACCTTTGCTTCTCTTCCACCCAAGGTACATAGTCAGTCCCACGATCGGGATCTTGAGCAGCACAACGCTGGCCAGTGCCAACCCAACCGTAGCTTCCATGGTCAGGGACCACAACTTGGAACTCCTTTTGCCCTCTGAGCCCCCGAGGCCAGCTGTGGTGGTGGTGGTGATAGGACCCCAGGTGGTTGTTTTGGTGTCTGAAAAATATGCAAATTCTTTACTAAAGGGCTGGAGGTATCTGGATGAAGCTGTCAAATCTTATTCCCTAGTTTGGGGAAAGTGGGGGTGGGGAGCAGGTCTCTGAAGCTCTCCCACAGGGAGCGGAGTAACAAGAGGTAATGCTGGAAGCTTTGAATCCTCTTCTTTAAAATCCTGACTCTGACTGATCAGTGCTATGACCTCAGAACCTCATTTTACCACCTACCCATAGGTGAACTAAATCACAGGATAAAAAATTATTTATTGTGGTAAAAGACACATAACATGAAAATTACTATTTTAATCATATTTAACTGTATAGTTCAGTGGCATTAAGTACATTCACATTATTGTACAAGTCTCACCACTATCCATCTCCTGAATTTTTCACCTTCATAAACTTAAGCTCTGTCCCCCTTTTCCCCTTCCCCCCAGCCCCTGGCCCCCAGCAGTCTGCTTTCTGACTCTGTGAATATGACTGTTCTAGGGACCTCCTGTAAGTGGACTCAAACAGTATGTGTCTGTACCTAACGTATACTGGAATGCACTTCTAAGGTTAACTTAATTTCTAAGTCCTACAAATAGATTGTACCTCTTTTAATAGATAATTAAAGAATTACTTAATACCCCACTAAAGGGAAGAAAATCCCAAATTCCAATGAAGTCTTCTGGTTAGTGTGGACCAAATTCATGTCCACTCTTATTAGAAATTAATAATAAAAGTGTTAATACCATCCCTCAACTAAGATTTTTAAAATTAAAAATTATTTAACTTTACTAACATATCAAAGTGATAAGAATGCACGTTAAAAACCCTACAAAACTAAAACTTCTATAAACTTTCATTATTTTAAATGTGAAGATGTTTTAAATGAATGAAAGATTAGCATCCGAGAAACGAGTAACAAAAACAGTGAGGAGGCAGCTCTAAGGACACTCACAGTTTGAAAGTAATGAAAACCTAGACTGGACACATATTTAAGGAAATAGAACAGCAGAAGGAATAAACAATGCAGGAGGCAGAGAAAAACAAACCAGAAAGCAGAGAAGACTCTTACAAACCTAACAGTGTCAAAAGAGTATTGAAATCATACATGCATTCAAAAAATCATTGAGAAATCTACAAAGCTCTGTGCAATGTCTGATTTTCTGAGACAAACAAAAGTTGAAAAGAATTAAAAAATAGTAAACTTTAATGGGCAGACAAAGAAGAAATTGAGGCTAGTTTTAAAGAACTGCCTTTTGTAGAGATTTTAAGCTCAGAAGGTTTAATGGTTAAATTCTGGTGAAAATTCAAGGAGTGGATAATTTCCAGACAGAAGGTTCTGGAACATAGAAATACAGAAAATGATGGAATTCTAATTCTAAAACTTCCAGATGTACAGGCTGGGCTTTGAGGAGGCAGACCATGGAGAAAGCAAGGGAGTTCCAGAAAAACAGCTTCTTCAGGTTCACTGACTACACTAAAGCCTTTGACTGTGTGGATCACAGCTAACTGTGGAAAATTCTTAAATAGATGAGAATACCAGACCACCTGACCTGCCTCCTGGGAAATCTATATGCAAGTCAAGAAGCAACAGTTTGAACTGGACATGGAACAATGGATTGCTTCCAACTTGGGAAAGGAATATGTCAAGGCCGTATATTGTCACTAACTTATTTTAACTTAAATGCAAAGTATATCATGAGAAATGGCAGGCTGGATGAGGCACAAACAGGAATTCCTGGGAGAAATATTGATAACCTCAGATATGCAGATGATACCACCCTTATGGCAGAAAGTGAAGAAGAACTTAAGAGCCTCTTGATAAAAGTGAAAGAGGAGACTGAAAAAGTCGGCTTNACAGCAACAAAAGCATAAACCTTATGCTACTCTCCAGTCATAATCTGGACTGCTTCATACCCTCCTTCAGGGATATTCAGTTCAGCTCAGTTGCTCAGTCGTGTCCGACTCTTTGTGACCCCACGGACCGCAGCACGCCTGGCTTCCCTGTCCATCACCAACTCCCGGAGCTTACTCAGATTCATATCCATTGAGGTGGTGACATTGTCCAACCATCTCATCCTCTGTCGTCCCCTTCTCCTGCTGTCAATCTTTCCCAGCAGGGATATTAGGGGTTCACATTTATGACCCTCTAGGGGGGTTTGTTGTGTGAATTGCTTTCCTCCTGGTTGTCCCCATTGCTGGCTTAAACTCCTGTGATCTCCTGAGTGAGTTACATACACCTGTTTCCAGCTTCCCCAATTTTGTTTTTGTCCTCCTAGATCACAAATTTTTTGTTGTTGCTGGTTTTGTCTTAAAAACTCCCTTCACTGTCATTCATTAGATTTTGAGAGGGAGTGGAGATAAACATGTGCATGTAACTCTCCATCTTGGCCAAGCCTTATGCTTTACTTTTACAACTTAAATTATAAAAAGTAAACATTCAAAAGATAATGTTGCACACTAATAATAAAAACAAAGAATGGAGAGGAAGTTAGGGAATTAGAAAAGGAAGAAGAGGGATCTAAGGAGGTCAAAAACCTCTCAGAAAAGATCATTTAAGGAAATATGGAGGAGACACAGGAAATATTAATCCGAGTCTGTCTCGGTGAATTCAGGTTCTGAGTCACTATCTGTTTGCTTTGAAATCAGCATAGTGGTCAAGAAGCGGCAATCATTTTCCAAGGGAGGAGTCAGAGAGCGTGCTCTTCCCAGCTGAGAGCCATCATCCCTCGTGGATACTGTTTAGAATTGCCAGCACAAGTGATTATAAAAGCAAACTGTATTAGTCATTCACTAGTTTTCAAAAACATTACAGACAACAACCCCCTTACTGCCTGTGACTGTCAGAGAGGACCCCACCCCCGTTGCTCTGGAGACAAATAAATTGAGGTTAAACAAATTGAGGTTCAAGTTCCCATGGCCCATTGATTGACAGAGGGAGATCTGTTAATGCAAAACATCCATTGTTAGGTTAAAAATAGTCAAGATAACGTGATGACAGGTCAGTAGGTGAGGCTGAGAGGCTCATGGTTAAGAGAAGAGGTTCTGGGGTTAAACTGGGGTCAGACCCCACCTGCACCAGAAATCACTTCAGGCAGGTTTTGCTGTGCGAGGAAGGCAACAGGACCAACTGTTACCTAGGGTTGTGGGGAAGGTCAGCTGGGGCGATGCTGCCAAGGTATCCCGCCAGGATGCAGGTCACAGTCAGGGGAGCTGCCAGGACTGCTTCCTCGTCATGACCAGGACAGAGGGGAAGGTCAGGGTGGACACGGGGACAGGGTGAATGGAACCACATGGGGGGTGGGGACAGAGGGAAGGAGGTAAAGGGGATGGAAGGAGGGAGGAGATGGAAAGCGAGGAAAGAGATGACATGAGGGAAGGATGGTTGAACTGATGTTTTGGGGGGCAGAGCAGAGAAGGAAGGGGAGATGGGAAATCAGGTGATGGGGACATGGGGCCCCTCGGCACCTGCTGTGTGTGCGGGCTGAGCTCATGGCTGGGGGGACAGACATGGGGTAGCTGGGGCTCTGCACAGGACTCAGGGCAAAGGGGAGGAACTGCACCCCGAGATGTCAAGTCACCTGGAGGACGTGGGGTGAGGGCAGGGGCCCGGTGGAGCCCAGCTTGGAGCAGGAAGCGAGGACAGCTGGGAGCACAGAGGGTGCAGGGGCCTGGGGATGGGGGAGGGGCTGGATCTGGAGGGCAGAGAGGGGGATGGGCAAGGGAGGCAGCTGATACCTAGGGAAGATTAAAATGAAAAGGGTAAGATTGGCAGAGACTCGGAGGTGTTAGGGGAAGACAGAGGATTTTGAGTGAAGAGTTGGGAAGACAGGCCCGAGCCAAGCCTGGGGCTGGAGGCACCAGTGGCCTCCAAGAGCCTCAGGGACAGCTGGACTCACCAGGGGTGACTGTGAGTTTGGTCCCCTCGATGGACTGCCACTGCTGCTTGCCGTGTGTCAGTGTGACCAGCTCCACCCGGCAGAAGTACACAGACTGGTCCTCCCTCCTCAGGTTTGAGATCCGGAGGGAGCCGGTCTTCTCACGCTCTGTCCAGTTCAGGAAGAGCCGGTTCTTGAAATTCTCATGGATGAATGGAGGGGTCATGTTGTAGATGAACTCCCCATGGAAGTGTTTCCATCTCCAGGATATTCTCATGTTGGGAACTTTGGCTAACTCCCAAATAGAATAGAAGAAGAAGGGGATGTGGATGGAGCCACCCTCAGGGGCTGAGAGATGCGTTGGTTGCTTCACCTCAAAGTGATGCTTTGGATTAGGTTCTGCCCAGTGACCTAGAGGAGGGAGGGGGAGAGACTCTGAAGGTGACCCCAGGCCATCGGGTACCCTCAGCTACATGGGGATGTGATGTGTGACAGGGCGTAGGACTGGCCCTCCTTCTGGCCTGGGTGATCCCCTTTCCAGGCTTGGGGCAGGGAGGAGGGTGGAAGGTTGGGGGACCTCGCACTGTGGGACTGGTCCTTGATTTGTTTGGCGTAGGAGACCTAGCCAGTGACCCTAGGGGGCCCTTCTATACACACCCAGCCACAGCCCCTCCCCAGGGTCCCTGGCAGAGCAGGACACGCCCAGCCACTCACCAGCCTGCAGAGACGCCAGGAGCAGCAGGGGCAGCCCCATGGCCTTGCCCCCCTCCCGGGTGAGAGGACAGGCAGAGCCCTCAAGGCCAGGCGGGAGGCCTTTGGGGGCCCTGGGGGAGACTCAGCACCAGGAGTGAGGACCAGGCTCCTCCAGAGGACGGAGGAGGGTGGGGGCCTTCCCCAAACCCGCCCACCCCGACAGTGACGGGCACTTCCTTTATCAACCTGGCTTCTTCTTTTCCTTTATTGCAAAAGGGCTTCCCTGTGGTCAGTGCAGAGGGAGCCATGGTCTGGGGCTCCCCGCCCCCGTCTTCACGCTGGGGGCTGGTCCTGACCTGCGCCCGCTGGGCCTCCCCCCTCAGCTCCTGTCTCCCGCCTCACATCTCCCTGGGAAGCCGTCTCTGTCTCTGCTGGTCTCTGCTTCTCTGAGTGTCTGTCCTCCCAGGGGAAGGGGCGGCAGCAGGACCAGCTCAGGCTCCTTCAGGGAGAGGTGGGCCCGGGTCCCTGCCCCGCTGCAGCCCCTCAGGGAGGAGGAGGGGGGAGCCCCTGGCGGTCACGCTCAGCCCCCCTCAGACACGGGGGCACCGGCCTGCTCTGGGCCCCTCTCCCTCCAGGCAGGGGCTCCCCTGCAGTGTCTCCCCCTCTCAGTCTTCAGGCAGAACCAAGGCCCATGTCCAGGACTCAGCAGTGGGACCAGCCCTTGAGCTCCAGTCCTGCTGAGCCCACAGAGCCTTCTGCTCCCTCTGGAAGCTTCCTCCTGGTCGCACCTCAGACTCTCTGGGCCTCACCCTCTGAGTGCAGAGCTCTGGGAGGTGACCCCCAGGAGGCTGCAGTTAATAACACTCCTCGGGGGGTTCCATCTGCAGCTGTGAGCCCCTGGCTCATGCAGGGCCTTCCCTGGACAGAGAGGAGGAAGGTCAGAGCAGTCATGGGTCATCCTGGTGACAGTCCCTGGGATCATCTCTGAGGGAGACACTGCCAGCTGTGACTGGTGCTGGGTGGGGTGAGACACGGGGGCTGGTGATCTTGGTGACCCCCAGGGCTGGCTGAGAATAAGGCTGTTTGAGCCTCTGCAGGCTGAATCAGCATTGGCTTACTGAATGGACTGTGGGGGTGGAAGGACATGATTTCATCACAGGAAGGGGCCTCAGTTCTAGAGGTGGGAGTGAGCAGAACGACTTCTTTTCTCCCGTTCAGTTTTTTGTCCAATCCTGATAGTTTTCTTCCATGCTTCTCCCATGGCCAGCCAAGTGGCCCCTGCCCTCCATATCTGCTTTTCTTACCCCTCCCCCCAGGCCTGAGAAGAAAGGTTCTACATTTTCATGGAACCCTCTTATCTGAGTCAGGCCCTACATCTATTTTCTCTTTTTCAGCTTTACAACATTATGTGGTGGATGTATCCTGTCTCCATCTCACCCAGGGGAAACTGAGGCACAAAATCATATCATAGAGTCCTTTGGGCTGTGAAAGGTGCTTGGGCCGAATCCTGACAGTTGGAAATGTGTGCAGAGGAGGACGGGGACCTGCTGGCTTCTTGGCAGTGCCTTCAGACAGTACCTGTGGGGGGTGATCCCCGGGCTCCATTTTCGCCTCACCCCACTGGCTTGGGACTTGGAATGCCTCTTGCTTGCCAGGCTTTCAGAGGAGGCAGCTGGATCCTACCAGGGGGCCCCACGGCCTACTCTGTTTGACGGCACAGAACTTTTACAAAAGAGGCTCTGGGTAACTTTGCAGAGCACTGACTGTCAGGTGCCCTTAGGCCCTGTTGCTTCCACATAAAGTCNGAAGTCACATTGCATGTGAATGTCGGTGGTGGTGTTGGGTCTGAATCCAGAGCCCATGCTCCCGACCACTTCCCCATGCAGTGACAAAGGTCAGCAGCCCTCTGGCCATATTAACAACCAACGCTTCCCTTTTCTGTATTGTCTTCCTGCTACACAAGGAGATGCTTGAGGATCTAATGGGACAGTGGCTCAGGGGGCTTTGGGTCCTTGTCACCCAGCACAGGGTGTGGGGTAGTTGGTGAGGACCTAATGTGTATGGAAAGGAGAGATCTTTAAAGGATGGGTATCAGTGTGACAATCCATGTAGCTATCCAGGCCGCGTGCAGAGCCCTCTGTGTCATCCTGTCCTCACTGGGCCCCTCCAAGGGAGGTACTGTTATCACCCCCACTTTGCAGAGGAGAAACCAGAAGCTCAGAGAAGGGAAGTCCTCTGCCCCACAGTTGGCTCCAGAGCCTGCATCTGCAGTTCCTGCCTCTGTCACATTCACAAGGTTCATCTTGTGTGACTAGGTTTCCTCACGTGACTAGGATGCATTTCAGCTCCTCATCCACCGACAAATGCTGATTAGGCTCCCAGGACATGAGAACAGAGGGCAAAGAACTGGGGAGTAAAGGCTGACCCCTGACCTTGCTGAGCTCCCGGGCTGGGAGAAGTGAAGGACAATCACAAGACTGGGATCAGGGATTGTTGTCTGCACTTCCCCTCAGAGGAGTGTGCTGGCGAGTGTTGGCCAGTTTTCAGAAAAGGTGTCCTGATTTGTAGGTTTTTACAATTCCCATGTGTAAACACTCCCACAAAGTCAAGTTAACTATTGTGTGGACTGTGTTCCCCCTCACCCCAAGTTCATATGTTGAGCCCCTAACCCCTCAGTGTGTATTTGGAAATGAGGGCCCTAAAGAAATACTGGAGGTTGAATGAGGTCACGAGGAGGGGGCCCCGGCCCAATAGCATCAGTGTCCTCATCAGAAGTGAGCCCAGAGCAGCGCCTACACTCAGAGGCCATGTGAACACATGGCAAGAAGGCGGCCGCCTACACACCCAGGGGAAGAGGCCTCAGGGTGAAACCTGCCTTGTGAGCATCAGAGTCTTGGACTTCCCAGCCTCCAGAATTATAAGAAATCAAGTTCTCGTTTTTAGCTACCCTGTCTGTGGTATTTGGCCCTGGCAGCCTAAGCAGGTAATACAGCTACCGATGTGAA